ATAGTTGATTTTTCTCGCTTCACAGACGTTGTAAAGGGGGGGGAGGTCGTACCAACCCCCCTCCAAAGAGGGGGGGTGGTCGATCGGACTCGACTAAAATCCCAACCAATGATGTGCTCTGGACCAAAACTAATCACATAATGATATGGCCATCGCCGCGGGTTGGCTTAGTGAGGGTTCCGAGTAGTACTCAGCAAAGCCTGTACATGCTAGCTCACTTGTACCTTTGCATGAGTTTACAGAGTCTAAGTCTCGCCAAAATGCTACCTGATAGTTAATGTGAACTGGCAAAGGGAACTGGCGCGGTGCCAAATGCCCTCCCCAAGTCGAACCTCCTCACCCTCTATGGTAATCACCGATGGGGGAGGGGCATTGAAAAAAATTGAGGGTTATCACAAGAATGCTGAGTTATAGGCAAAAGTCAGACCCCAGGCGGAACTCAAACCCGCACTCCACGCCTTCCGGACGAGTGAGCTATCCGTTGGTGATTGGAAATGATATTTCTGGTTTTTATTCATATCATTTTTCTACATGTATTCTGTGTGAATGTTTTTAGAACCGAAGATTTTGAGATTTTTTTCTTGTGCGATGGCTGTCTTTCCTCCTTGTAGCGCTGAAGGCGCCGTAGTAAACAGCCTGCTCTTGCTTTTTGGAGACCATCTCATGGATTCTTCATATGATGCAATTTATTGTCGAATGCTTAATTACTTCTGCCAAACGAGATTGTCAGGTGGAACCTTTTATTGGCCTGACGTTTCGACCTTCTCGTCTTCTTCAGAGGCCTGAAAATGGCTCGAAGCTTTCAATTTGTCACCTACCCGACCAAGCGCCTTCCCCACTCTAGCGTTTCCGACGTCGTGTCCCGAACGCCCCCGAAGAACCCAGTAATAACTGCGCACAACTCACCGAGGTTCCACCGTGCGGAGCCTAGCTCACGCTATGTGTCAGTAGGAGAAGTAAGGACGAATGAGTCTCACTAGAGTATCATCGTGTCACATAAGTCAAAATTGTAACTTAGTTATCACAGGAGTTCTGAGTTACGGATAGAAGTCAAACCATACCTGCATCTCCCATCCCGGGAGATTGCATTATCCTGGGAGACGGGCAAGAGAATCGTGGATTGCCGCTTCGTCGCGCGCGGCAATGGGCGCGACGTTTCCTCAATTTGCACTACCCTTTCGATTGAAGCATCGAATTTTATGTAGACAGGTAGACACTCATGTCTACTTTTGGTCGTACATTGCCTATTTTCGACCAATACCACCCAAATCGTCGTCATTAGCGGGCGCGACGTCGCACGCGACGCCCACTGGCGCGGCGAATTACGATTCTCTTGCCACATACCCCTTTCCTACGCTCCACGCATTGTTGTAAATATTTGGTATAAGCACACCACGCCCACACACACACATCTATAGGTGTGTAATGTATCCATAATCTGTCTTCCATAGCCTCCAAACTTCTCTCTTCGTAAGAACCTCAATATTGTAAAATATGATTTCTAGTACTATCTGCGTCACGAGGTTTTTGGTGCAATTTATTCGTCTCAACGTGTAGTCCTCGTGAATAAAAGTCGTCACCTAAAAACCTCGTTGAGCAGAATGTAATCAGAACATTCATATCTTGTATCCATTTTTTTTAATTGTTTTAGTTTTGTCGTGAGATTCTCATTTGGGACCCTTTTTGTGAAAAGAAATTTCTCATTTGGGACCCTTTTCGTGCACAACATTTAGCCGAATGCTTGGACATTTGCAATATTATGCTTGTTGACGTTATCGGGGCTTCTGCTCCCCAATTTTGACGATGTTGCATCCAAGTCCCACTTGTCGTTTCACGCTCATCTTATCCATCCTCCTACGATTCATCAGAACCAAGCTTTTCTTTGAATCTCTAAGCACCGATTCCGACCCTAATGAGTCTACGCAAATTGAACCAGAGGTTCACACGCTCTCTCTCAAGTGTGTCGTTATTTTTCTAAGAGTATCCGTCTGATTATAAGAAATCGAAGTAATATCCTGGACTAATCTCATCCCGTCCCGCAATCTAGTCTATGTTGTATCGAGATTTCTCGTATTGATATGTCGCATATAAACTTCTACCGAGGACAACATTGAGAGGACAGTCTTGTCCGCCGGCGTCCAGCGTTGACCTGAATTCTCCGTGGCCATTGCGCCGACAAATCGTACAATATCATATGTCTTCGTGAATTTCGGGACTGATATCTCGTCATATCACCAGTGATAATGGCTGTTGTATTTAGAGAGCGCTCGTGGTCTGTGAACAGAGAGAGGCGGAGATCTTCTAGAGATTCATCAAGTGAACGAGGTTATTCGGAAGCACGAGAGAGAGGTGATAGAACGAGGCGAACTTGGTGACAACGATGTTCGTCTGGTGACTAGCTGTCTGACTGAAGAGAATCGCCACCAACGCCAGCACCGGACCCGATAGATCTCACTCGTCGCCGCTCACTGCTCCTCCCCACAATCCCACAGCGCGAACGGATTCGAAGTTGTACTGTAGTCCTAGGTATGTTCGTTTTCTCTTTACTTAATAAATGTTATATATTTGTTCAACTGATTACGGTAAAGGATACAGTACCTATGCTCCAGGCAGAGATGACGACGGCCTCTGAGCTCTTCTCTGAAGATGCTCGGACGCGTTTCTCCCACACTAAGCGCTTTGTTCGAGCAACTGAAAACAAGGCAACAGGAGCCTGATGCGAACCATTTTTAAGAAAATTCCTCGTTCATTCGGAATATTCAAATATAGCTTCGCTTTTTTTCCAATTTTTTAAACCTCTTTTGCGTAGTTTCTCCTAGCTCACCGTCAGCAACACCTCTTATGTGAGTGAAAACTCATTAGCCATGGGTAACCTGCGATAAGCCACGTTGCGGCGAATAGGCAGTAGTCAACCCTGTGGAGATAGAAGATGGAGGGGCAAAATATTCTAGAGCTACTACACTACTGGACACTCAAGAAATCGGGCTCTGTGATAGCCCCAAAAAATTATGGCACTATCACAGATGCCTTTAAGTACCTCTGCGCCCATTTATTCCCAAATTGAAAGGCAAATTGACGATTCCTGGTGTCCTGGCCGCAGACATATCGCTTTCAGTGAAAATACTTTTCTTTTTCTTCTAGTGATTTTCATTTACGGTATCGTCGCTCTGTTCCGAATAGACTTCCGCTAAAGTTGACTTAATATTTGGCATGCACCTGAGAGCAGGAACTTGTCAATGAACATGGTCGAACGAGTAGGTTACGACTCTCATCTTTGATAATTCAAAAACCACGAGTGTTCTCCTCCTGGCTTGTAAAGGGTTGCTCAAGGTTGCCTGAACTGGTTCTTAATTCCCCATAGATTCATGGCATTCGTCTGCGAGAACTATTGCCATTGATTGCCTTTTATTTCCTGGAGGGTTCTTGAAGGCCTAATCAAAAGCCTGTTGCCTTTCAAAAATTTTCCGCATAGATGCACTCAGAAGGCAGTGGTGGCTAGCTGTTGGCTATGAAAATTATTCAATACTTTCCTGAGGTGGCACTGCCCTGCGTAACTTTCCTTTGAGCCATGACACTTTTTGCTGGCACTTTCATGGTAGGTCGGTTCAGGTTTTTTTGCTTTAAGACTTGATGAGCCCGTCAAATGTACGACGCATTCCAGTCGAAGCAAGAAACAGTTCGTATCAACTTTCACCACGTTTCCCTTTTTCCTCGGTTACTAGTAAACCGTGCTTGACAGATACCCATCTCTATGACAACTACCCTGGAGTATGGAGTACCAGTACATGGAGTACCAGTAGCGGTGGAAAATTTTTTCACACCCCACCCCTCCCCCATCCTCCAAATACCCGTCGAGTGGAAAGGGAGAAGGAGAAACACTTCAATTAACTTTCTAGTATGAGAAAGCTGAGACAGCACTAGCAGGGCAGGTGTAGACATATGGTCTTACCAAAAATCAACCATGCCAAACAAATCCTCACCAAACTCAAACACAACCCCTCTTTAGGAACATAAAAATACGACGTCCACTCTCACTGAAGAATAACGGGAGTAATCGTGCCTCTAAGGAGGGGTCAAATCGGGGTGTGCAACTGTGCTTCCTGTCTTATAAGGTGGTTATTGGGGTCGTTTATAGTCCAACGTTTCACCGAGCCCTCATTATAGCAACCTGAATGCCGAGAACATTCTCTGTTTGTCCATCTCAAAACCGTTTTGCTTTAGTAACCATCAGGTTCAAAAAGAAACAGTCTCGATCTCAACTGCCCACGAGATCCGCGAGGAAAGTTCTTTTTGAAAATAGACCCCCACCAAATTGCGTCCTTGCCCACCCAGTGCTCCCTACCATCTTTCTAACTTTTGCCATCTTCCTCCCATTTTCCCTCTTTTCCAGAATATTTTCCAGTTTCTCCCAGAAACTGCCATCGAGCGGAAGGGATAGAAAGGTCGTCACGAAACAACTACTTTTTTCACCTGTGGAAAATAGTAGTTGTTAAAAAATTTTAACCGCACCAACTATGGGTGGGGAGAGAGAGAGCTAGCAACTGCATTACAATTATCGGTACTGTAATTGGTGCCAATTGTAAGCGATTGTCTCCTTTTTCTAGTCACTTAAAAAGCGTTAGAGGGATCTCGGCGTTTGGCTAACAGTTCGCAGCTGTACATGACTCAATTAAATGTTATTATATTGACACCATAAAGAATGGCAAAAACGCTAGCGTGGAACGATTGACTCGTAATGAGGTCCCCGAGTCGTTACGACCTTGTGAATATACGATTCCCTCGTTCTTCTTGTGCACGACTGCACCC